TGTGGGTATGAATTCCGTCCTTCTCTCACCTTGGCCTCTTCCCGGCTATCTAGGTCTGATTCCACACCCAGCTTGTCCAGGAAGGAGCAGGTGAGGGGCTAAAAAGTCGTGGACACCCCACGCTAGGCCCTCCCTGGACCCTGAGCCTGCTTCCTCTCTCCTCCGTTCAAAAACCCAGGAAGGGCACAGCCAGGGGACCAGCATGTGGAGCCCACTGAGGGGCACACACTCCAGGCTCTGCTGCCCTGGGGTGCCCGCTACCGACCCCACCCATCCTGGGACCAACTCGTGCCCCACCGGCCTTCCGGGGCCGGGTCGGCGGAGCTGGGGGGAGACAGAGGAGTCCCCCCGCGGGTGCGGTCCCGGGCCCCCTGAAAATGGCCACGTGCAGACAGAAAGCTGCGCGCGTGCGCACACCCAGCCCAAGGACAGAAAGGCTAGAGAGAACCCGACAAAGAGATGGAGATGGGCCAGCGACTAAGGCAGAGACAAATGGGGCTCCAGGAGAGCGCGATAGGCAGGAAATCCTTCTAAACCAGGACACTGCCCCGAAACGTTATTGCTGTTATTACTATTAGCTGGATGTAAAGGAGCAAGCGGGAGCGAGGATCCAGCGCGGGCGAGGCCCGCTGCCACGCGCCTCCAGGCGCTGCTGGCAGCCATTTTAGCCCTTGGCAGCCATCTTACGGCTGGCGGCCCAGCCAGCGTCCCCACAATGCCACCCCCGCCGGCCCCCGGCATGCTCAGCTCGGCTCCAGGACAAAAGGCAGAAACCCTGGAAATCTGGACCCAGGCTCGGAGGCTCAGGAGGCAGCCCTGCAGCAGGGGCGGCTTCAGCCAGGGCCCCACCGTCCTGCTCCAGCGTGCGGCACCCCCTTCACCCTCGGGGGCCAGCACCCAGCAGGAGGAGAAGGGAGGGTTGAGGCAGGGGGGCCCTGGGGACGCCACGTGCTACTCAAAGGCAGCCGAAGCCCCCCGTGGGCCATCCCCGGGCCCAGGGGCTCAACTAGGACCCCTGCCCTGGCAGGACAGGGAGGGACACGAGGGGGGGCAGGCCGCCCTCGTCCACCCGGTGGGCTTAGGGGTGCGCCTTGGACGGACGGGGGCAGGGGACTGGCAGGAACCCATACAGCAGCCGTGGGGCCCAAACCGGCCACCGGGCCCTGGTGGGCAGGCTTCTAGGGAGGGTAAGGAGAAACCCCACCCCTCCCGCCCCAGGAGTGGGAGCCAGCTGGGCCGGCCTTTGTGGGCTCTTTGGGGAGCCTCGCCTGGAGGTCGGGGCTTGCTCTAGACAACCCTCTGGGATCAGCCTAGCCCACCGGGGAGCACGCCAACCCAGCTTCGTGACTCCCTTCCCTGTTGGGCTCCCTGGGGGAGGGGATAACCCCAGGCCTCAGGACAGACGGGAGGAAGGTCCCTTTATGACACCCCTCCCCACGCCCCGCCTCATGGCTGCTCAGCTTTTATCTGGCAGAATGGGGCTTATCAGAGCCACCAGCTGAACAAACATACAAATCCACGGTTAGTGAGAAAAAACCCTCTGCCTGAACTCTTTATCTCCTGTTCACAGGCCCCACGCACTGCCCCCTGCCAACAGCACAGGAGGAGACCTGACTGCTGCGCGGCAGGGGCTCCTGTCTCCGCTCCCCGCCCCCCTCCC